AGGGGGGTCGCGGGTAGCTGGTGGGAGATGCAGACCTCGCCTTTCGGTAGCAGGGCGGCGTGGTGCCGTTGCCTGCTGCAGCCCACGGCGCCGGTGCTCCGAGCAGGACCCACCAAAACTTTCCTCCCGAACTAGGAGGAAGGTGGCGGGAAGGCTGGACAGCAAACCAGGCATCCTTCCCCCTCTGTGCCGGGGCCGTGGTCCCTGCTGCCCCTTCCTTCCTAGAGGGATGGCAAGTGCTTCCTAGAGTGAAGAACCGGGAGCAAAAGGGGTTTTTTTCCGCTGCCCCTCTGTACATCGCCCTGGGGAGCAGAGCAGCCTTCCCGGCGGCCTGGGAAGCGGCTCCCGGGGGGCTGAGACCTGCAGCAGGCAGGGATGGAGGGGTCGGCTCAGGCTTGGGCTATACACAGGGATTCCTCTGTCATTCATGCCGGAGTAGTCAACTGGCGTTTTCAAGGCACCAGCTTTGCTTTACCTGACTGTCAGATTTCCGAATATTTGTCTTTCCTTTTCCTGTGATTTCTGCCATTATATGCAAATTTTATTTTTTAATCAAGACATTTAAAAAAAAAACACACACAACAAAATTTATTGTCTAAGCAAAATGGATAGCTGTGATTCTTGGTTGGAAATAGGTTCAGCTGAAGCCAGCAGAGCAGCTGTCCCGCTCAGTGTGTCCCTGCCCCTCCGGGAGGTTACCCGCAGTGCTGTGGCTGGTCAAAGGGGTGATGTGCCCATGCTCAGCGACTGGAGTTTTAAAATAAACTAAAATTGACAGCAGGGGAAAGAAACCACCGCAACCACTGGAGCTAAATCCACCTGTGACCATTAATCAGGCCCCTAAGAATATATTGCTGTGTTTAATCCCAAACCACAAATTTACTGAGTAAAGAATTATCTGAATAAATACTTCTAACAGTAAGGACCATTTAAATCACTCGCATATATCAGCAGACCTCAAAAAGTGCTCCAAAGGTAATTTTTTTTCTTGTGGACCAAATTAAGCCTGCCAACAATAGCCTTTTTTCCTTAACTACCTACCAGGAGTAGTGAGCACAAATACCCCCCACCCCACATATGACCTGACTTTGGTAAAACCTGACAGTCTCCAAAGAAACATTAAAAATAACATGAAAGATTTCCTAGCTCAAAATCCTTTATGGGTAAGTAGTACCCTTTATATATTTTTTTCCCTTAACATTTTGCCTACAACTGACAGGTGAAATTTCGACTTGAACTTGGAAACTGACATGAAGAAACTAGATCTCCTATTTAGACAGCATTATAGTATTTTAATCAAATGAGCATTAGAAAAGCCTGTATTCACCCTATTTAGCAAGAAACATGACAGAAGTGAAAAGATTTTGGCCTGATTGGTTCAGGCTTTCTATATGTTGTGTATAATAATTGCTTTTTCACTAAGAAGGCCAGTGCCATCAGTGACATTTCTTGTTGCTGATGTGTTTTTTTCAGACTCTGCTTTGCACAAGACCTTGTAAGAGGCACTTTTTTGTGCCTTACTCCTCAAAGAAATCATAAATTACAAATTTTAAGGATTACAATTATTAAGGAAATAAAAAAATGGTAATGAAAGGGAAGGATTTAGTGATGATGGGGTACTAACCAGAGCTTGGATTTGTGGCTGGAGCTGAACAGTCACTTTGAGCCATCAGAAACCAGAGATATGACAGAAAAAGTCCCTGCCGACCTGTTGGGATGTTTGTTCTGGCTCAGCACTGCCTGGGTCATCAGTGAACTGATCCACCTAAAAACTAGCTAAACGCTGCAAGAGATGGTTAGTTTTAAGGCCATTCAGTTCCTTGATCTTGCTTATAGCAAGACTGTACAAGGCATGGAGGGGAGCAAATAGGTTGGGAGATGAGAGCAGGATTTTGGTGATAATACTGAAATTCCAGCTGGAAATGGTGATTAAAATGCAGCACCTTTTTACAAGAGAGGAACGTGGCAGGAGTTAACATGGTGGATGTGAATGTGGTAGATGGATAGGAGGTCTCATGCCAAGGGTCAACATTACTACACAGGATTTTGCCAAATACAGGGAGAGCTGGTGATAGTTATTTTCTGTGTCCTCCAGGTCAAAGATAAGATTAATCTGCAGAAAATAGAACTGTGGAAATGATCTTGGATTTTGAGTTTAGTGAAGCAATGAAGGAAGGAGGTGGCATCTCCTCCACTGGTGGTTGGTAAGAACAGATTAGACAAATTGCTGCTATGTTTGTCCTGGGCACATCCCACCTTGCGGGTCCCCAAAGAGTTCTCCTGCGACCGCAGCCCTCGCACAACAAGGTTCATGGTGGTTGCAGCTTGGAGAGCTTAAATCAAAATCCAGCAGAATAACACAAATATTTTTCCATGTGGTGCCACACACGACATCCCTGGTGGCCACTTGGTGGTTTCTTATCCAACGCTTGTTGGCCACCAAGATGATCAATTTGTGGTCCCTCAAGGACCGGCAGTGCTTGGGTTATGTTTATGTTGGTTATGATGGCATCTCCATGGGCTCGAGTTGGGGTTAGATCCCGTTTTCCCAGGCACTGTAGCATTGCCGCTGAAGGACAAACCTTGCATTGGAGGGAAGATAAACTAGAGGAGACTGAATAGATGAAGGAAAGGGAAAGAAAGGATGATGTAACATATGAACAAGTGGCACTGGGGCAGAATTAATACAGCGTTGCTAAATATATGCTTTGGATGGATTTCATTTGTAACTTTGGGCTAAGATAAGGGCTGGCACAGCTGATACGAAAAGAGTTTTCTCACCCCTCCCTAAACTTTTACATTCTCCTGAAGCATTTGCAAAAATGTTAACTGCTTGTGCTACCTGAGCTGCATCAAACATGCACCCAGAGGTAGGCTTTGTTAGTACCTGCTGTAAAAAAACATGCCGTCAAGGGGTTTTAATGATTATCTCAGCTTATGGTAGGATAAACACTATTCCTCCTTATTTTTTCTCTTATAAAAATAACTAAATTAGAAGGGTCCTGTTTCAGAAACTAATTCTATTATATCTCCTCTCTTCTTTCCTTAATAGCATCTGATGCTGAAGCATTCTCATGCCCAGGCAGTCACACATGCAAGCAGATGGGGTAGCAGCTAAGGACACTCACACCATGTCCCGTTTGGTGCCGTTTTTTGGAGTTTAGGGTCAGCGTTACCACCTAACCCTCATGGCTGGGGTGTTTTGTGCAATGCTGCTCCTCATCTCAGTGTCGAGTCAGTCTCCTCTGCTCGCCCCAACAGAGCCCTGGTTGCTGGTTTTAAGCTGTGGTGGAGCTCATCTGAGTATTTGTCACTGAAAGACAAGACATATACTCAAATCCCCTTTCTAATACTGCCACTCAGCCCTCCCTTCTTCCTCTGCGCTTTTGATCCAAGGAGGTAGTGAGAGGGAAGGAGAAGGCTTCCTCACCACCGCTTGAGACCACGATTGCCCATCCTTGGGGAGAGGAGAGGACAAACCCATTAGAGACAAGGTGCATAAGCATCCCCTTCCATGCCTGTGGGAGGCATGGGACCTGCCACTGCTCCTCATCCTGGGGCTGGATCATCCCACCAACATGCTCCAGCACATGGGGTCAGAGACAGCGACTCTGTGAACAGGGGGAAGGTTGTCCTTACTGCCCCATGTCAAAATTCCTGCATCTGCAGCCGGAGAGACCTGAAAGGCTTAAAAGGCTCCCACCACATAGCAAATTATATTCTCTCTTTGTCTCTATCTCTCAAGGCGTTCGAGTAGGCTTAACAAGCCACTGGGGACTGAAACAATAATATCTCTGTATCTAATGCTTACTGTAAGCAAAAGATGGATTACAAAATAGACTGTTTATTTTTAATTATTAATGTGTTTGAGCTAGCAAACCTTTTGCAGAGTTACACATTGTTTCTCATGGATGGAAAGGAGATGAACTATTCGGCAATGGTATTAAAAACAATAATTTTTCATTCCAGGCATGGCTATTTTTTTTTTCCAAATGTATAATAAACATTTTTCAAAGCACGTACTGGGGTAAAGCCAGAAAGGGTTTGTCTTGAAACGAAGGATGGCAGAAATCAGGGTTTTCTTCCCAGTTCAGTGATAAACCATTTTGCTTTGCTGTTCCTCAGTTTCCCAACTAATGGCTTAGTGCATTGTAATTCTTTAATGGAGCTGAATAAATCAAGGGCAGTTTCCAAAGTACAGCTTCTCATGCTCCCAGGAAAGAGAGAGCAGAGGTATCGCAGTGCCATTGTTGACCAAATCAAATGCTGCTGGTAAAAGACCTGATCTCAAAGATGTCTGCTGAAGTTCTTACTCCTCTGTCACCCCTTCCTCAGCCACCTCGGTGTAACATATGCCACACATATACCACGACAACCTTGGCAAAGAGAGATCAGTGCCCTTTATAAGACTACTATTGGCACAACTTGGGGACAATTCCTTGCAGTGACCAGAGAGGCTGTACCCCAGCCCCCTCACAAGCCCCAGTAAAGCTCGACCATGCTTTTGCATCCCTTGCACATGCACTGCTTTGCAGAGTCTTGCTCCAGTAGAGCCTCCCCAGCATGGGGCAGGCCCAACGCTGCCCTGCTCTTCTCTCCCCAAGGATGCACCAGGGAAAATGCCTCCTCGGACTATTTACAGCGCTCTCCTTGCATCGCACAAGAGGAATTATCTGCCTCCTCCAGCCCTCAGCTAATCCCTAAATATACTGCAAAGCTTAGTTTATTTTCATTTCGTCTAGTAGTTTTAAGTATTGCAAGGAATAAAATGGACATGCAAAGTAGTGCTTTAATTTTCAAGGGCAGTAAAGTGTTTTATTTTTAGGATGCTCTTATTGAGGAAAGAATCTCTGGCAGGTCTTATCTGGTGGCTAATAATAGTGACCTCGTGTGCCCTGAGCCATGCCGGCGCTGCCCCCCTGCCCTTCTCATGCTGTCTGCTTATGCCGTTTGCTTCTGATCAGCTCATTAAAGCCTCCAAAATTACGGCGTCTAATAATGTAATAACAAGGTTTGCTCATAATTATTAACTCCTTGCACTCTATGTTATTACTGGAAGGGTAATGTTCATAATTATAGAGCACAGATATTTACTGTAAGCAAGTTTTCTGTGCAGTCTTTAGAAAACCATCCATATGTCACCGTTTTTAATATCACATCAGAAAATACTGAGAAGGGGTAGCTCATGGCCAGAGAACCCTTTTAGATATAAACATCCAATTGACAGTTTTCAAGCAGTTTCTGCTGTTGACTTCAATATAAATCTTGCTTCCTAGGAGCTTTTTATTTTTTGTATAGTCTGTTTATTGATAGCAAATGGATCAAATGCTGAATTCGTTTCACATTATTGTTGTTAGTGCAATTACCCCAGTGACAGTGGTGCTAATCCCAGTTTGTGGTTACTGTTTGTCCCTGTACACAGGAGATAAGCATCAGCATCTCAATGCACTAAGCGCGTATTATAAAAACCCATACTGAAGTTTGTATCTTTTCTAAACCCAGAATTTGGTCTTGCAGTAGAGCAGTGTTCCTGCAGCTTGTCATCAAACCAAGAAGCACGCTTGAGAAAGTATAAATAGGAATTCATTTTAGTAATGCAAATCCCACAGTCCTATTTTGGGCAGGGAAAATCCCTGTATAATTTTTTTAAAAGAAGTGTGATGGTCTAGTTTTAAGACTGGGTTTATTAGGGATTTAATCAACCAGTGTGTTACGGTGGAGATTCTCCTCTGCCATTGAAATATATCTGTTTCTGATTGATCTAGCTTTTACATGCTATAAATCCTTGCAAATTGGCTTTGGATATGACCTCCTCCAATAACTCACTCTGTTTTATTTACTTGAGTGTTTTTTGCAGATAAGTCCCCTCTCTTCTGTCTTCCATGTATCTATGGGGAAAACAATAAAGTGAAGAGACAAATACCAAGTCTAAAATATTTCACCCCCTCATCTTTTGTTTTTTTTCCCTTCAAGCATTGCTTTTTGCTTATAAATCACAGTGTTCTAAATTGCTTGTATGAATCTTGCTACACTGTTTAGTGACTTTGCAATGCTTTCTAATAGTTGGCGAACACCAGCTGACGGGGCACAAAGTAGCAGTAAAAATACTCAACAGACAGAAAATACGCAGCCTGGATGTGGTTGGGAAGATCAAACGAGAAATTCAAAACCTTAAGCTCTTCCGGCACCCTCATATTATCAAACTGTAAGTACAGTTTCTGCTATGTGTTCAGCTTACTCCTCCATCTGCAAAGACTTCATATACACAGTTGAAAGGGTTTCAGGAGATGGCTTGGAGTAGTAAAAAATGTTATGTGCGTGGTCAAGTTTTTGCATGTTAGAGCAAACACTGCTTTTTGAGAGTCTCCCACTAACTTACGGAGTTGATACATGAAATGGTGGAGGATGTTTCTTCCATTGGGAGTCTGGGTTTCTGTAACAGCCAACAGACTGATGTCCCTGCATCAAGTTTTGCTCAGCTAAACCTGTCCAAGCTGCCCTCTCTTCCATGCAGAGGCTGTTATAAAGGTGCGTAGAGAGAGTCTGGGTTTTCCTGCACTGGGATGCTATTAGGAGTTTTTGTGATGACCCTTTTTTGGCCTTGTGTCTCCAGACTTGAAGCTGCTGAAAATTGTGCCTCAGGAATTGTAGCACGGTCAGGCTCACAGAGTGAAGCCTTGGCCTGAAGTCAATCGGATTTACGTTTTAATGGCCTGATTATCCAGAGCTTAAAGGAACATTTTTTTAAAATTTATTATTCAGACATAAGTTTTCAAAGTTGCCACTCTGATGAACCTGAATTTAAGTTGTAAATCAGCACCTGCACTCCAGCCTCTGGGATTCCTTCTCAATCCCCAGTTTGTGCAGCCAGTCCACATTAATGAGGCACTCGATAATATCTTTGGCATTTCTATAAAAGAAAGCGTTGAATGGTAACTGCAAGGATAAGTTGACATTTAGGTCAGCCTTAAAACTGGCATGAGATATAGCAAATACCTGGGACTTAGAGGCAAGGGAAAACAAATTCTCTCTACAGTTAAATAACTAACCATGCAGCAACTGTTGACTTTAGAGTAACTTCACAGTTCCATGGATTTATTGGAGAACAGATTGGTATTATTTCACAAAAAAGCCAGCAAGAGCCCTCAGCTGTGCATCCAGCGTCCTGCAACTTAAGTCCTGTTCACACAGTTGCCTAAAATTTAACCCAGTTTAACAATATCCATGTTCTATGGTGCGTACTGCAATCATGAAATACAATGATAAAGAAAAGAGGTGAGGAGGAGACGACAGTACATAAACCTCCTCTTTCA